CCTCCTCCACCCCCTCCCCCTCCACCCCCTCCCCCTCCTCCTCCTCCTCCTCCTCCTCCTCCTCCTCCTCCTCCTCCTCCTCTTCCTCCCCCTCCTCATCTCCTACACAGCTCCTCCTCCCTCTTCCTCCCTCCTCTTTCTCCACCTCCTCCTCCTCCTCCTCGTCCTCCTCATCCTCCTCATGCTCCTCCGTCTCCTGCTGCTGCTGCTGCTCCTCCACATCCATTATGGGAAACACGCCTGTAGCCAATTTCCCCGCGTCACCGTTACGTTGGGGGGGGCCAGGGGCGTCAACGCGAGTTACGTCCGGGAGTAATGAAAGAACGATCTCAAACAAAGAGGAAACAATATTAGGAAACAACTCCTGAGAGGACTCCGTGGGAACGATTAAGGACGATTGGGCCCGATTGGAGAGCCACTTCACCGGAATATCTGGATCCTTTCCAAGATCAAACCGGATTAAGCGGAATTAGACCGGATCGGTCCAAATTACGCTGGTAGCCGACCGCGAGAATACCAGCGCCGATACGGAATTAAACATCCCAGGTGTTGCATCCCATAGAAGAGGACGGGGATGTACTCCGGAGGAGGAAGAAGAGGAAACACACAAAACAACATACCCGATATACCCAACCCCTTCTTCACGAAAGGCGACTGTTTGTATGAACGCTCCAGACAGAAGAACGCATTGCAAGATATGCAGCACTCTGAAAAGCTTCGTCTGGCAATGTCGGGCCACTCATGTCGCACATCTCGGCAGGAGTGGGCAATCGAGGACAGCGCCGTGAGCTGCGTGACGTTCCAGCGCTCCTCCTTCCCCCCTCCTCCTGTCTCATGCCTTCTCCTCGCTTCTCCTGCTTCCTGCCTCCTTGCCTCCCTTGCTCGTGCCTTTCCTACTGGGGGGCTGCGAACTGCGCAATTGTACCCACTTTCGTGGGCTTCGAGGTCCAGCGGAGTGGAGTTACACGTAGATCTAGCCGGGACCTCGCGGATCCTTCGAAGTCTGCGAATTGCGCAACCGTCACCACTTTCGTGGGGTCCTGGGAGAGTGACACGCGGATCTAGACGGAGTTTCGCGGCTCCTGAGGAGGCTGCGAATTGCGGATTGGTCGCCATTTTCGTGGGTTCTTGGGGCGTCCAGCGGACCTCGCGATTCGCTGGGGTTGCGAACTGCGCAATTGTCGCCATTTTCGTAGGCTCCTGGGAAGTCTAGCGGCGTGGAGTGCGGATCCAGACGGGACCTCGCGGCTCCCTGGGGGATTGCGAACTGCGGAATTGTCACCATTTTCGTAGCTTTCTGGGAGGTCCAGCGCAAAGGAGTGACACGCGGATCCAGACGGGGTTTCGCGGTTCCCTCGGAGGTTGCGAATTGCGCAATGGTCACTCTTTGTTCGTGGGCTATTGGTCCAGCGGAGTGGAGTTACACGCGTAACCACATGGGACCTCGCGAAGAACTGCGCAATGGTAGTTGTCTTTTTTCGTGGGTTTCTGGGAGGCATTGCGAAGCGCAGGGAGCCCGCATGGTACATGGCCACATGGCGCGTGGTGCCGTCGCGCCATTTAGTGCGCGGCGCTGTTGCATCACAGAGCGCAGGCTACGCTGTGCACGTTATGTGGTACAAGCTATTTGCCATGTCATGCAAGCGATGTGGCGCAAGCTAAAATATGTGGCACAAGCTAAATCCGTGGCCCAAGCTATGTGGTGCAATATATGCGGTGCAAGCCATGCGGTGCAAGTGGTGCATGAATGAAGACAGACATAAAAAAGAGAGAAAGAGAGAGCGAGATGGACTGACAGATACACTCACGCAGACAAAAAGACGGACAGACAGACAAACATGAGAGTGGAAGAGGGAGGGACTAGCAGGAGCGGGAGGAGGCGGAGGAGGGGTGAGAAGCACGAGGAACTGGGCGCGAGGTAATTACGAGCAGGGACGATGAACGGGGAGGAAGATAACGAAGATGAGAAAAAGCAGGAGAACAAGAAGGAATGCTCGGAGGCAGGGGCTGGGAGGTAGATGGAGTGCGAGGGGGGAATGAGGGAGACAGGGGAAGGGAAAGGAGGACTAGGAGGACGCGGAAGAGCGTTCAAGAGTGGTGTCCTGAGGCCAACCTTGAAAACCGTGAGCGCCCCGGTCACGGCCAGCCCGACAAGGCCGCCCACGATCGTGGGGAACTCCACACTAAAGAACGAGACCCCGAGCACGGGGAGCATGATGCTCAAAACGCTCAAATAGATGTAGAGCGCGTTGCGCTTGACCTCCCGCCAGGGCACCAGGATGCGCACCACGAGGGGCACCAAGAGCAGCGAGCACACGAGCAGCATCACCGCCGCGATGACGCCGACCTTGGACTGCCCCGTCTTGTCGATCCCAGTCGCCTCCCCGATGCCGAACCTGGGGGAACAAGAGGATCCCGACACCGCTACTCCCCGAATCCGTCTTGGGACGCGCTCTGACTGGAACCTCGAGGCAAACTTCCGCCACGGCGACGAGGGCCTCCCGGGAGGCCTAAGAGGGGAGAGCGGAGAAAATGGGGACCAGGGCAGCTGTACGGGTACCTTTTTTCCAAGGAGGCCCAAAGAGGCGAAAGCGGGGCAGGGATGGCGGTGTCGATACCCCAGCTCCCTCCAAACCACATGGGCGTGCCCACCGCGCCGAAGGTCGCAGAGAAGCCGTTGAAGAGCAGCAGGCTGGCCACCGCGTCGAGCTTCTGGTGGCCCATCGAGTAAAGCATCGGCGCCGCCAGGGCGGCGGGGGTGCCGAAGCCCGAGGCGCCCTCGACCAGGAAGGAGAAGCCCCAGCCGATCAGCATGACCTCGGCGACGGGGTGCCCCTTAGTGACGGCCTTCATGGTGGTCCTGAGGGGCAGCGATCGTGAAGGGACCTAATTAGGGACACACAGACAAATAGGCACACATCCCAGGATCCCCCAAATATTCCACATATATACATACATACATGCACATATATATATATATATATACACACACCGACACAACAACTATCGTGCACGCCTCGCGCGCGCTCAAGTTCTAGCTAGGCTCGACAGAATGACGTATGGAATATCAATTGTTGAAGTGCCTTGTGCATTTAACAACCTTCTTGGAGTCCCTGCGCAAGCCTCGGAAGCATTTAGAAGAGGAAATGCGGAACCCACAAACTCATCAGTCTCCTTTAGGTGTTCGATGGTTTGGGGCTCTCGAAAGCTTCTTGGGATCTTTTTTCGGTGGTGATGGGGGCCTTGATGATGGTCGGTTGTGCATACATGAACCGGGGGAAATTAAGCTTGGGAAGAACTGGATTCTTGGAATTTTCTTTTTGTTTAATGTGCCATGCCTGGGCCGTGGGTCAGAAATTTCCTGGATACGGGCCGTGGACTGTTGGGACGCCGCTGGGGGCATTTTAGCTGTGTCTTGGGAGTTTTTCGGGGCCTCTTGGGAAGCTCTTGGTGCCTTTGGGAGCCTCTCGGGAGTCTCTGAAGGCAAATGGGGGGTGCCTCGAGAGCCTTTGCGAGAACCTTGGAGCCATCTCGAGGCAAAGCACGAACCTTTCCCGGGAATCTTCAAGGAGTCTCCGCCGGCATCTCGGGGGCGCCTCGATGACCTCTGGGAGAACCTTAAGGCAACCTTGGAGCAAAGCGCTCGTAAGGCTTTGAGAGGTCCCCTTTTGTGTCTCCTTCTTGGCGCGCGCGCTGACGTTCTAGCTAGGCTGGACAGGTGAACTCATGGGATGTCGATGTTTACGGTGGCTTTCAGGGGCAGCCAAGAGGATACGAACACGACCCAAGAGAGTGCCAAGACAGCGCCAGATAATCCAACAGCATTTCAGAAAACACTTTGCAATGTGACCCCGAAGTCTTGATGGGGCTCGGGATGAATTTGAACAAATAGAGAATCTCTGGATTTCTTGAACATGTAGTGCGCAGGATACGGTGGGCCGAAGAGGCGTGCAAGGGGCTCTTGGGAGACAGTTTGGAGGCCGCTGGGGGGATGTTTGGGGGCCTCTTGGGGCCACTTTTGGGCTCTTCGGGGCTCTTGGGGGCCTCTGCAGGCTCTTCTGGGGACTCTTGGGGCCTCCTGGGGGCCTTTTGGAGCGGAGAGCCGGGATTGTCGATTTGCGTTCCCCCTGTTGGGCGGCTTTTCGGGCCATCTTGGTTGGGGCTTTCTTGGGTTGCCTGGGGGCGCTCTTGGGGGGCCTTCTTGGGCCTCTTCGAGCCGTCTTGAGGGCTCTCATGAGCGGTCTTAGGGCGGTCTTGGGGGCCTTGCCGGCCGTCTTGGAGCATTGGAGGCTCGAAATCGAAAACGCGAGAATACATATATATATATATATATATATATATATATTTGTCGGCGGTGCCCGGTGCGGAGCGACCCCCCACCCCCGGAATTGCTCGTCCCGCATGGGGTTTCGTGCTGGCCGCACCGCCGGTGCAAGCCGGTACGTTTGAAACCCCCCGGGATGCACGAACCCCCCCCGGGGCCGGGGCGCCCCGGTACAAAACCCCTGGGACGCCCCGCGGGGTGATGATTTCAGCGATTTTTGAAGGACTTAAACGCCCGCGTGTCTATCGCATTCTCGCGCAGGCCCCGTGCATGAGTGTCTAAATCGTGTCTAAATATCAGGCGTGTCTGAAATGTCTATCCGTGTCTAACCGAAAGTGTCTAAATCGTGTCTAATTCGTGCATGCATGCGTTAAGCGTCGTGTCTAAATCAATGTGAATCGTGTTTAAATTATGTAACAAGTTGTCTAAATCTTGTTAAAAATGCGTTCGAATCGCTCCGCGTTGATGTGTTAATGTGCGGTGGTGTGGACGCGAGTGCTTGGGTGTGCGTGCTTGCGTGCTTGCGTGCGTGCGTGTGCGCGTGTGTGTGTGTGTTTGTGCGTGCGTGTCTTTGTGTGTGTGTGTGTCCGTATGTGCGTGTGTGTGTGTGTGTGTGCGTGTGTGTGTGTGTGTGTCTTGTATTTCCCTCCACCTGCGCGTCCTCCTCCGCCTCCTGCCCCATCCCCTGCCGTCTGCCCGTTTCCCCCTTCTGCCTCTTTACCCCCTCAAGGGTGCTCCTCCCCCCCCCTCATCGTCACCATCTTCAATGCGATTCCGCTCGCTTCGCTCGCACTCATCATCAGCGCGCCCATCGACACCACAATCTCCAGCGCGCACGGCCGACAACGTGAACAAAACATCCCGCTGCAATGGGAGCGTATCATCATCGCAATCGCCATCGTCGCAATCGCCGTGTTGCGCCGTGTCTAACGTCACGCTGTGCCGCGTCTAACGAGGTGTCTCAATCCAGCGGGCCGATTATTTTTCGACGCGCGGCATGTCTACATAGTGTCTAAATAGTGTATCAATCAGAGCAGTGTATAACCTCGTGTATATATATATATATATATATATATCTACCAGAACGTGTCTAAATCGTGCATAAATCGTGTATATTCGAATCTAAATTCATGGAAAATGTCTCAATTCACACTCGTGTCTAAATTTGCTACGAACGACGCTCAGAAAACATTGTAAGTTACAGCACTTCGTGGCTTAGATTTAGACGCGGAGTTGAAGAATTTAGACGTGCAGAGTATGCAGGACGTCCCGCACGGGAGCGCTGACAATTCAGACACTCTCTCTTGTCTTCCAGGGTATACGAAACCTCCTGGGACGCCCCGCCGGTGCGCTCCGGTACGAAACCCCCCGAGATGGCCAGAGCGCGGGGCAGCGCCCAGGCAGCGTGTGCGAGCGTCCAGCGGCGGCGTCGGCGGCGGCGTCTGCGACGGCGGCGGCGGCGTCGGCGACGACGACATCCAGAGATCCCCGGAGGCCTCCGCAGCCCCAGAAGCTTCCCGGAAGTAGGGGGCCGGACGTTCTCGGAGCTTCACGCGAAGTAAGGGGGACGGCTTTCCACAATCCCCCGGAGGTCTCCCTGGGGCTCCCCACCCCTCCTCCAACTCCTCCCCACTCCGTCGCACTCCTCAACAATCCTCACCGCTCCTCCCGACTCGTCCCCGCTCCATCGCAGTCTTCGGCCCTCCTCGGTACTCTTCCCGCCTCCTCCCCACTCCATCGCAATCCTCAGCACTCCCCCCCGCTCCTCCAAGCTCCTCCCCACTTCATCGCACTCCGCGGCTCTCCTCCCAGTTGCCCCAGACTCCTCCCCACTTCATCGCCCTCCTCGGCCCTCCTCGGCACTCTTCCGGACTCATCCCCACTCCATCGCACTCCTCACCGCGACAACGACGCTGACGACGACTACGACGACGACGACGACGACGACGACGACGACGACGACGACGACGACGACGACGGCGACGGTTACGAGCACGACAAAGGCGAGGACGAGGACGAGGACGACGACGGCGACGACGACATCCAGAGACCTCCGGAGGCCCCCAGAATCCCTGGAGGTTTCCCAGGACTCCCCCCCTTCTCCGACTCTCCCCCACTCCGTCGCACTCTTCGGCACTCTTCACCACTCCTCCCGCCTCCTCCCCGCACCATCGCACTCTTCGGCCCTCCTCGGCACTCATCCCGACTCCTCCCAGCTCTATCGCTCTAGTGGGCAGTCATCCAGGCCCCTCCTGACTCCTCCCCACTTCATCGCACTCCGCGGCTCCCCCCAACCCTTCTGAACTCCCCCCCCCGCGACCGCGACGACGACGACGACGGCGACGACGACGACAACTACGGCGACGACCACCACGACGACGACGACGACGACGACGACGACGTCGACGACGACGACGACGACGACGACGGCGGTGGCGGCGGCGGCGGCGGCGGCGGCGGTCTCGGCGTGGGCCGGCCCGCCGGCGAGCGCGGAACACCGATGACGACAACGACGTGGACGAGGACGGGGACGACGACGACCACGACCACGACCACGACCACGACGACGGCGACGACGACGACGACGACGGCCGCGGCGGCGGCGGCGGCGGCGGCGACGAGGACGACGACGACAAGTACGACCACCACCACCACCACCCCACGCCCACAGGGGGGGCGAGGGGGGGCCACCACGCCATGCCCAGTGGGGGGGGGGGCCCCATCGCGCGGGGTTGGGCCCGATGGCATCAGCACGAGGGGGGGGGGGCCAGACCCTGGATCATCTATCTCATATCCGTCCGTCGATCTGTCCATTCATCCGTACGTCCATTCATCCATCTAGTCCTCCCTCCCACCCCACGCCCACGCCCCAAAGACCCATCCCCCTCGCTCCCACGCAGCCCCCCCGTGCCCCCACCACAGGAGCCCCCCCCCACTCCCACAAGAGCCCCCCACCCCACTACCACAGGGGGCGGGGGGCGCCGGTGCGCCTGGTACAAAACCCCCCGGGAAAGAGGGAGGGGGGGGGTCCAGGTCGTCGGCGGCACCCGGTGCGCCCTGTACGAACCCCCCCGGGAAGGCGGGGGGGGTGTTCGTGCCACGGGGCACCGCCGACATTTATATATATATATATATATATATATATATATATATATACATTCATTTATTTATTTATTTATTTATTTATTTATGTGTGTACAACTATGAATTCAACGATTTTGGCCTCTTCGGGCGCTCCCGGAACGACTCTCGGAGCTCTCTTGGGGCCTCTTGGAGGCCTCCTGGAAGCCTGGAGAACCGTCGGAACTCTATCTTGGGCTGCTTGGGAGCGTCTTGGGCCGTTCTTTCGCGCTCTCTAGCGGCTCCTTGGGAGCGTCTTGGGCCGTCCTGGGGCGTTTTGGGGCCTCCCTGGGAGGCCCGGGGGAGCGGTACTGGGAGTTGTCCGTAGATGTCACGGAGGTGGGGGACGCTCCTGGGGGGGGGCGTATTTGCTTATGCTATATTTGTATGTATGTATGTATATATATATATATACATACAAATATCGATATCGATATATATATATATATATGTATACATATATATATATATATATATATATATATATATATGTATCCTCGAGCTTTGCCTTCCCCTCCGTTTCCCAAATTTGTTCCGCATTTCCCAGAAAGGAGTCGACGAATACTTGTGTCTGTGTTTCTTCCCTCCTGACATAGGGACTTCTTTCCGCATGTTTCCGCTGGTTCTCGGCGGCCTTCCAGCCTCGAGATAACTTCCAGCGGCTGCACCTCGCCGAGAGCGTTCTGGGGGTGCCCAGGTCGTTGCGAACGGCTGCCAGAGGCCCGAGCTATGACTCGAGCACCACCGGGGGGCCCGCCCTCGAGGGAAATATCGAGCTCGAGTCGGCGATACATCGCCGATAGATTAGCCATAGGCCCCCGATAGCGAATGCGCGCGCTCCCGGGCGAGGTGGGCCACCTGGCCCCCGCCGTGAGTGGTCGATGGGAGGCCGAGGCGTTCCCCCCGAGCCTCTCCCCCCCTCTCGCGGCACCCGCGGTCCGCATCCAGGCGAGGCAGCCGGAGGACTCCATGCAGTCGAAGAGGAAGATGGCGCCGGCGACGATGCTGATGGGCGTCAGCGCCTGGAGCACGCCCGTGATCACGTTGCCGGCGATGTCGTGGGGGTGGGAGCCTGGCACGCGCGAGCGGGCGGCAGGAGGCAAAAGCGAAGGGCGGCGGGGACGGCGGCCCCGGGAGGCGGGAGGCCATCACGACGCCGCCGCTGGAGGAACGCCTGTGGAGCACGTGCAGGCAGGGCCCAGGGACCGATCACGAGCCTCCACCTCCTCCTCGTCTTGCTCCTCCTCCTCCTCCTCCTCCTCCTCCTCCTCGTCTCCCCCCTCCTCCTGATCCTCCTCCTCCTCCTCCTGATCCTCCTCCTCCTCCTCATTCTCCATCTCCTCCTCCTCCTCCTCCTCCTCCTCCTCCTCCTCCCCCTCCTCTTGCTTGAGCATTCTTTGCTTTCGGAGACATCCTGGCATGTACTCTTCGGGGAAGGCGGGCAGCTCCGTATGTGCCTCGGCACCACGGGCCGGTGCCCGTGTGCATGCGCGCGCGGGGGCCAGCGCGCACTGGAGACGCACGCCTGCGCTCGCCGCAGCCGCAGGTGCGTTCCGCGGACGTCATGAGCCACCAGCGATCAAAGCCAGATCCTGCCAGTACAACAACTGTTTGCGGACGCCATCGTGTGCACCACAGCATGCCGGACCCTGCCATTGCCACAGTAGCGTGCGAGCGCCACGCTATGTCTGCCAGCGCCAGCAATGTGACTGTGTTCCACCACAGAGGGTCTGCGACTGCCACAAGGTGCCCGAGAGCACCACAACAGCGCTTGCAACCACCGGACCGAGAAGGAAGCGCGACCCTGCCATGAACACAGTAGTCTGCAAACGCCACGCGCACATAAGCACACTGGTATACTGGACCCTGCATATCTCGCACATGCCTGCGACCGCCGTACTATGTCTGCGAGCACTGGCAAGGCTCCTGTGGGCATCACACTCGTCTGCAAAAAACTACAACACGATCGAAAACACCACGAGGTACTTGCGGCCTCGCATCGGAAAGAAAGTCTGACCCTGTCATCAGCCGGGCCGGTGAAATAAGGGACGGTAAATAAGGAACGGAGCCCCTTTTTGGCCCCAAGAGTGCCAGCGTACACGATGAGGGCTAGAGGAACAACCACAGAATTACCTAAGGAACATCGAGCCCCCTCCTGTCTCCAACTGTTGCTAATTTCAGCGACTTGACTGCACAGCAAGGGCATACGAGGACCAAGCGCATGCACAAAAAAGTGCACCTACCGAGCCGTGCTGGCACCACAATGCAATAACTACCCAGAGAGCGGCGCAGTGAGAGCACGCGAGCACCGGCAGCGCGCCTGCGACCACCACAACATGCTGCGAGCGCCAAGACGTGCTTGAGAGCACCGCCGTGCATTCGCGAACAACAGGTGGCATGGGAAATCGAGACATGTAAGCGCCGCATTTGAGCATCGTCTACCCGGTCCCTATCCACACGGGCATGGCCTTGGCCACACTGGCCGACTTGCCCGCCAGGGTGGGGACACTCATGCATGTTCCTTCGGGCTTCGCGGGGCCTGGCCCGATCTGGGAGGGTGGCCCGGTGGGGCTGAGATACCATGGCCCAGCGCGGAGAGAAGGGATATGTTATGACCAACTGATGCGGATCCAGGATACCACTACTCCCCGGATATATCCAGGGGTGCGTTCTGACCGGAATCTCCAGGCGAATGCAGGGGTGGCGGCGAGGGCCTCCCATGAGGCCCAGAAAAGGGGACAGCTGGGGACCAGGGCAGCTGTACGGGCACCTCCTCCTCCTCCGAGCAATTGTCTGCGAGCGCCACGCGTGCGCACAACAGCACCGTGTACCCTGGCTACCTTGCGAGCGCCACGGTGAGCATGCGAACGCCAGCAGCGCGCCTGCGAGCGCCATCGAGGGCCTGCGACCACCACGCCGTGCTCGTGAGCACCAACGCACTTGCGGCCACCAGGCGGCAGGAGCGGGAGCAAAACCAGGAGCAGACCCGCCCGAAGAAGGAGGGACAGGGGCGGGAGAGAGAGAAGGGAGAGACAGGGGCGGGAAGGAGGGACAGGGGCGGGGCGGGAGCAGACCCGCCCGAAGAAGGAGGGACAGCAGGCACACGCAGGGAGAGAAAAGGGCGTCCCACCTCCTCCTCCTCCTCCTCCTCCTCCTCCTCCTCCTCCTCCTCCTCCTCCTCCTCCTCCCCTCCTCCCCCTCCTCCTCCTCCTCCCCCTCCTCCTCCTCCTCCTCCTCCTCCTCCTCCTCCTCCTCCTCCTCCTCCTCCTCCTCCTCCTCCTCCTCCTCCTTCTCCTTCTCCGCCGCGGCCGCCCCCCCCCTTTTCCCCACCCGCCAGAACGCCCGCACCCAGCACGCCCTGCCGCCAGCGGGCCACCACGCCACCACATGCTGCACGGACGCAGGCACATCACACGAGCAGGCGAACAAAAGCCATGCCTGGGCGTGCCAGCCCCTCCCGGGTGGACGCCAGCATGCCGCATGCGTTGCCCTACTGGGTCAGCCGGGCCACGCTACGAGGAGGGGGAGGGGGGAAGGCACCAGCAGCAGGGGCAGAAACGACAACGGAAACGCCAAGAGCGACAACTCCACGGGCCCACGAACCCGGAGCGGGCGGGTTCCACGAAAGCACACGGCGTGTTTGCAAGAGTGGCAAATCATTGACTCCCGAGGCCGCCAATGCCTCCGACCCATGTCAGGGCTCGTGCAGACGCCAATGCCAAATCTGAGCACTGGTTAGGTTAGTCCGCCTGGAGCACTCGTATACTTGCCCGCGAAATATGCGGTTCCATCAATTTTCTTGGAGCGCTGCTTTCAGGAAAGTTCGGACTTCGAGGCTGCTCGTTGCGCACCGCCACCATTTGCGACAACCACCGCTTGCATCGCTCGCGAACACCTTACGTCTTAAGATGTTCCGGCGGCCACGCTCCTAATAGGAGCGTGGGCGCCGGAGCACATGCAAGCATCATCGCGCTTATGACAACAGCAGTTCCGCAGTTCGTGCGAACACCGCCAGGACGTGCGCAAGCAACTCAGCAAGGCCTCTTGGGCGGGCACCGCAACGCCTGCGAGAACCGCCGCGCCCACGAACACCGCAATGCCTGCAAACACCGCCACCGCTCTGATCGCCGAAATTCCTGCGAGCACCGCCGCGACGCAAGCCGGCCTCGCCACAGTCGACTGCCCTGCCGGACCTGCAAGAGCGACAAAGTTAGCTGATCTCTAGGTGGTGCGAGCCCGATGACCCGGGCCATCCACAGACCAGTTCAAAACACTCTCCAGTCTTCAAGCCACTTTGGGTGCTGCACCTGGCAGCGACGACAACCAGAGGTTGCGCGACCAGGGGCGCTGCCACCAGAAGCGAATCCCACAAGCCAGGTGGTTGCACGAGTACCACGCTGGCGGCAGCCGTGGAAACAAGAACACCCCAAACCCTGTGGGAGCGGACGTAAGCTAAGACGCCCCAAGACATAACGGATAAAAGGGGTTCTTTTTCTGGAGTTATATCAAACCAGACCACCGTGACTTAGCATGCCCAATGCAAGCATGAGGACCTAAGTTAGGCTACGTCTTCATTGTGCTAAGAGGGCTAAGGGGGAAACGACTGAAACCGGGAGGATATTCAAGACTTAGTTCCGGAGCTAAGTCGGCCCGATTCCGGGGTAAAGGCCGCCCCGCGGAAAAACTTAACTCCGGAGTTAAGTCGCCGCCAAGCTGGCGGACGCACCAGCTATTACACGAATTAACTCCGGAGTTAAATGATTCCCACGCCGCGCGACCCAGCCAGGTACCTAACTGCGGAGTTAAATCGCCGCGGCATTTGGTCGGGTGCCGCGACGATTGAGAGGGCAGGAAGTGGAAGAGGAGGAGGACGGCGACGAGGAATATGAGGAGGAGGAGTGAGGAGGACCAGGAGGAGGAGGAGGAGGAGGAGGAGGAGGAGGAGGACAAGCTAGGTGCCTTCGCGTCATATCTTACATCCTACCCCTCCCTCCCATCCCTTACCATGGTGTAGATCCCCTCTCTGTTCGCACAGTCGGATGTCGACCAAGGCAATGATCCCGAAAGGGTACGCGATGCAGTGTAGAGCACGGCGTGGCATGGCGTAGAAGAGCACCGCAAAGCGTAGTATGTCACAACATGGCGTGGCGTGGCGCGGTGAAGAATTGCACCGCGCAGCTTTGCAACGCAAAGCATGGTATCGCACAGCGGCCCCGAACATAACATTGCATAGCATGGCGTTGAAGATCTAGGCGTAGCCTGGCATAGCACGACGCGGCACTTAAGCACTGCATATCACAGCTTCAGCTGAAGGCATGGTATCGCGCAGCGGAGCGCAACCTAGAATTGCATTGCACGCCGTGGCATGGCACAGGAACTGACGCCAGCGCTGCAGCGGGAGCACGATTCGGAACGAGCGGAAGCGCGGAAATGAGGCCAACGCTGCAGCGGGAGCACGTTTCGGAACGAGCGGAAGCACGGAAATGAGGCCAGCGCTGAAGCGGGAACACGAATCGGAACGAGCGAGGCCTGAAAATGAAGCCGGCGCCTCAGCGAATGCAGCACTTTGAAAACATATGCAGGCGAAAACCCAACTCCGGGGAATCCTGCGTGTAAAAAAAAACAGCACGCAGGGGGGGCGGGGGCGATCGCCCCCAGCCCGTCATCAGGGGAAGGAGGAGAAGAGCGTTCATATACAACAACTGTGGAGGAGGAGGAGGGGACACATCAGGGCACGGGGAGCCGAACGCCGCAGGAGCGCGACTGCGACTGCTACCTCTGTCCGCCACGCTCCCGGGTCGGGGCCGAGCTCCGCCTCGCCCCCGCCCCCCTTTTTTCACGCGGGCGCGATGCGCAGGCTGCTTCCCGCCAATCGCCAAGCAAAGCGAGCATACGAAGAGTCTTCGAATCTAATCAAAATCAGACACGCTTCGATGCTCGCCGACCCCCGCCTCCCCCTGCCCCCCCCTGGCCCGACTACAAGGGCCCTCACTTCCGGCGCCTCTTCGGGCATGGCCCGTCGCCTGGCCTGGCGTCGGGCCCGCCGGCGCCGCCGCCGTCGCCCGGGGGGGCT